TAAGCTAATTTGGTCACCGTTTTTATCACAAATTGATATATAGTAAAATATTACGTTTCCTACTATCAGTATTGATAAAAAAAATCAATTAAATTTAATTGAATTAACCCTTACTGACTATAACATTTCCTACATAAAAGTTTTATGATTAAACACCACATTTTAAATAATAAAAAAATATAAGCATGCACAGCACTGCAAAGTTCTAAATTATTGAGTACCGCTGTAGTACCTAGTCGAGTAAACGCAACCAAGTATACACAACAGCCGTGCAGGTAGTATATGATGGCGAAGCAACTTGATTAATTTGTAAATATTTTAGGAACCAAGAAGGCTTTGGAGAAACGGCTGCACATAAAAATAAATTCTATAAAATTATTCCAAGCATCTTTTATTATTTTGAGTATTTTCGTTATTTCAAACTGTACATTTTTTAAGTTAACCAAAATTTTGGTGTTTCATGTGGACGATACTATTTCTTCGACCTTAGCTTCTTTTTTAACACAGTGTTTAAGTAAAATTGAATTTAAAATATAAGTTTGCCACTGACAGTTTTCCAACATTTTAGACAGATTTTAGACAGTACAATTTGTGCATTCTGTTTCTCAGAAACAAAGCAAAATCGAAATAATTGTTTCTAATAATATGTATGTACTAGTATAGGATCTGCAACATTAAGGCAGAATAAATTAGTTTAAAAAATGGCGTATTAACATTAACTTCTTAAAAAAAGTCAATGTTAATACCGTTGATTAAGAAGTAGGGGTACTCTTTACTTAACAATAATACAATATATCAAAATCAAATAAAAAGTGGCTGATTTGGCGTGAAATGCCTTATACATTAACTCTGCCACAGACTCTGGCTATGAGCAGAAACACGTTGGTGTTTAATTAGTACACTTTCAGTGAATTTTGCAATATTAGTAGTAGTAGTAGTACCTACTCTCCCAGTACCTGAGGGACCAATTTCCACCAAAAAGTTAAACCACTTAAATTGGTGCCTTCGAGGTGTTACGATTTCCACAATAACCTTGTAGGTACATAAAAATACGCAAGAAAATAAGTATTAGTATTTTGTTTATTTCTTTCTTCCATACTGTTATGTTTTTAAAATTGCATGTATAATAATGTTAAAAACAAACATTTTTTTATTTATTCATTCCTCTTTTTAATGAAATAAACATATAGAGAATATTTATAGAGTTGGCATTGGCAAGTTCAAAAAAACATAGAGAAGTCAAGCTTTAAACAACAATACAAAGAAGAAATATCGCGTCTTAAACCTTTAAACCTCTCTCCTTCAAAATCAGGTTTTTGCACATACTTAAGGTACTTACAGGTAAAAATAATTAATTATCTAAATATGAAATTTTTTGTATTAAATTATTGTTTATTTCATTTTATTTCATTTAATTTAATTCTTAATAATAAAAATATATTAATAAATTTATAGTTTCTTAGCAAAAATAATTATTTATTTATTTATTGAATACCTATTTCCTAAATATTGTATTTATCTGAAAGTAAATTGTAAATTATAAATTTATTTATCATATTAAAACGATTTTAAATATCTATAACAGTATTTTTGCATATTTAAAAGAAAATATTAGAAAATTGTTTGATTTTTAAAGTGTTTTTATGCTTGTAGAACCACTGTTTGTAAAAAAACAAAAAAGATAAAAACCAATCAGTCAAAATTTTTTTAAGAATGTAGATACAATAATGTAAAAAATATATGCAACTTATTTAAGGAATATCGATTACTTTTTTAATAACTATAATTTGTCTTGAAATACGGTGGGTAGGTCTTTAGAGTTCGTACCTACTAACTTTCACTTAGAATTAGTACAAGTTATTTTTCATAGATGTCCCCTTAAGTTTAAACTCGAATTAAATGTGTATTTTAAAGCTTTCGAATTCGCAAAAAGGTTTTAAAAACCACAAATACATATTGAATTTCTGTATCAGTTAAAATATTAATACAAAATAAACAATAAACATGATTTATTTGTATACAAAATATTTGAATTTAAATAAACAAAACGTGTATATTCGAGTAAAAAAATGTTTATAAAATAAGGTTTTATTTAAATAACGTTTAACATTTTCATGAATTAACAAATATAAAATTATGAACCGAATTGAAAAAATAGGTTTAATAAAAAGTTATAGGTATAGGTATTATTATATTATAGCGGTTTTTAAATTTATCAGTGTAACTTTTTTATTAAATTTTAAATTTAAAGTGTCTAGTTTTAAATTACATATTTTTTTTAGGTATTAATTTTTTTCTCAACTTATTTGAAATTAAAGAAACATCAAAAGTTAACTCCATTTAAGTAGCATTTTTAGAAATTAAAAAATACGCTATAAGTATTTTCTTAAAAAAAGATTTATCCAGTTAAATGAGGAATATTATATGATATTTTTACTTAATCATTTTAACAGGATAAATTTAATAGAATTTGCTAATAAAATTATTTGACTTTGCTGTGTTTGATATTGTTCTGTCTGTTACATGTATTTAGTAAAACATTTTACATTAAGAGCGCTGTATCTACAAACGAATAAAGATTAAAAAATTAATTTAAATTTATCTTCTCTAGTGACAAATTATCACCTTTTAATGTAGATACTTATTTGTTATTTTCTTTTGGTAAGAAAAAATGCGATATTACGATTTAAAAAAATGCTATTAATAAAAATTGTCTTGGTTTATTATTTCACAAACAGAATTAAATAAAAAATAAACAAAACTATAACACAAAGCACGCTTGTATTTCAATAGACGAACCCTCATAGAATCGTAGGGGTGATGGGAGCATTATTTTGACTGTGGTTAGGGTTTGTGATTCTTTTTACCTGAACATGGCGACTAGAGGGCACAGTTAGCGTTTAGGACTAGACATAAATTGTGCTAAATTACTAGGAACCAGTTATTTTGTTGGGCCTTTTTTAACGATTATATAATAAGTTATATTAGTTTAATTGTAGCGCATAACCATTAAAGAACGTTTTCGGTTATAAAAGCGGCAATTTTACTAATAAAATGAAAATCGCTTAACCTCTGTTATTATTTTAAACTACACGTAATATTTTTTTTAATACAAGGGTTCTAAAAAAATAAGTCTATCAATATGCTTGAAGGTATATAAGCTATTAAATTTTCTAACGAAATATTTCGAATAAATATTAGGCACTATCTTTTATGACAGCCCTTTAAAAGTCTGTCGTAAATAATTTATATTCTACTGGTCCTGAACTTATATTATATCTACTAAGATTTTTTCGTAACTGTGTATTAAATAAATTTAACCATAAACATTTTGATTTAATAAATGTAAAATTAATATTTGCAATTTCCTGTTTTCTTTTATTATAATATAACGTTTTTAAGTTATATGGAAAATATTAACACTGCATATTTAATATTTCCATTGAATTTAATTTTATACAAAATTCACATTTTATATAAAAAAATATAATTAAAGATGTAAGTGGTACTTACTAATCTCTTACTAATTGTCCTGTGCCTAAGCAAACTATAATTTTATATGTATATGCATTAGGGTGTTTCAAAATAAGGCAATATTTTTCTTTTTTCAAATTCATGTAAAATTCTCGTCAGTTATGCTAAAAAAAAATTGTGTCAAAATTTGAGCTCTTAATATTAATTTTTAAAGGTCCATCATCGAATTTAAAATTTTCCCATTGGTTTAACATGAAAAAATAGTTTTTTAAGATTTATTTCGACTGCATGCTATGTAGAATTTTTTTTATAAACAATCATTGGTCCTTTTTTAGCATTAAACTATCTACAAAAAATCAAGTCTGTAATATTAATTTTAAAATTTCCCCATTGATTTAACAATAAAAAATATTTTTTAAAGATTTATTTCGCCTGCATACTACGTACAACTTTTTTTTTGTGTGGCAAGAATTTCACATGAATTTGAAAAAAGAAAAATATTCCCTTATTTTGAAACACCCTAATATACATACTAATTTTAATAGTGGGTAATATTAATTTAAATTTCAAAAATTAAAAATCCTAAAACATCCTAAAAATATAAGTATTTATTATTATTTCTTAAAAATTTTATGCGGCCATTATTCTCTTATATATGTAATAATTACATTGTAATTGAATCAAATTTAACCTATATCTACTAAGATTTTTATGTAACTGGGTATTAAATAAATTTAACAATATACATATTGATTTAATAAATGTAAAATTATGATTTGCAATTTCCTGTTTTCTTTTAGTACTGTAATAACGTTTTTAAGTTATATGGAAAATATTAACACCGAATTATTAATAAAGATGTGTTATAAACAAGGTATGATTTCGAGTTATTAATCCGACGTTTTGGTGTAATATTTTGACAATAAGAGCTTTGTTAATTCACCCAAACTTTTAAAACGCATTGAATAGAATATTTACTCAGAATAATACTTATAAAATTTTAGCAAAACATTTGATTCAATTGAACTGTAATTGAATCAAATGTTTTGCTAAAATTTTTTAATTAATATTTTGAGTAAATATTCTATTTAATGCGTTTTAAAAGTTTGGGTGAATTAACAAAGCTGTTATTGTCAAAATATTACACCAAAACGTCGGATTAATAACTCGAAATCATACTTTAATATTTCACAAAATATTTTATGTATAAGAAAAAATCAAAATATTTGCTTAGGACTTTGAATTTAATTCCGTAAAAAATTATGAAACGCGTTTATATAAGAGGTATAAAATGTTTACATTGGGATTATGGTTTGGAAAAAGGGCTTTTGCTGTGCCTTTTAAATGTGCGAATGTGACCAGGTAGCGAAAATACTTGAAAATAGAAATATTCGCGTGGAAGGATTCGGTCCCCGTGAGCTAGCGCCACTTCTTGGGTGTCGAAAATATGTACTAACTGGGCGCTTGCGTGAGGAGTAACAAAACGACCGAGTCTATATACCGCAGTAGCTAACGGAGAATGGTTAGTAAGACTTGTAGCACAGACGAGGTTGGTTCGCGCAACAGTCGTGCTTGAGCTTTCCACTGAACATGTTACGTAGTAAACAAACGCTGTGATAGAAAAATACTTGAGAATAAAATTTTGTGAAAAAAACTAAAGTGCTTAAAAAAGTCTGGATTGGATTTTAATATAATGTTTTGGTGATAAAAGTGATAGGAACTTACATAAAAAAGTGACATGAAAATTGTTTGTAGAACTGTGAACTAAGACTAATTTAAAATGAAGTGGCCGCAAATATTTAGTTTGGTGCTTCTGGCCAGTATCCTCGCCGCCACCAGGTTCGACGGTCCTGAACAATGTTCTTGGCTGCCGGATAACAATGATTCGTCTTCCTCCAAGCTTGCGGTCACTTGCAAAGTGCGCACTTTGGAGGAGTCGGGTGCCAACATAAGCTCTCTCCCGGCCGAAATTACTTCAAGACTACGGATTTTGTGCAACGAAATGCTGTTCCACCAGAGCAATCTTCCAAGTCAGGGCGGTTTACACCGTCTTCACGAACTCGAAGAACTGCAAATTAAATATTGTAAAATTCTTCACATTGAACCGCGCTCATTCGAAGGACTGTACAATCTGAAGAAACTAACTTTACACACACACAACTTTGAATGGGCATCCACCAAGAGTTTGGAGTTGTCAAGTTTAAGTTTACAAGGTCTAAAGGAGTTGCAAGTTTTGGACTTGGCCGACAACAATATCCGCGCCTTACCCGACGGCGTTTTCTGTTCGCTCGAGAACCTGCAAACTTTGAATTTAACAAAAAATCGTATACGAAGTTCTGAAAGAATTGGATTTAACGTACAAGAATGCAGTAACAGCGAGTTGCAAAATTTGGATTTATCTTATAACGATCTGCGCTCGTTGTCCGAAAATTCAGGATTTTCTCGTCTTCGCCGTTTACAACAGCTCAACTTGACTTACAACAATATAAGTGAAATTTCCGGAGAAGCTCTCGCTGGACTAGTTTCTCTTAAAGTTTTAAATATGGCCAACAACAAAATAGGAACATTGCCTCAAGGATTATTCGCTGGATCTCCCGAATTGAAAGAAATTCATTTGCAAAATAATACGCTGTTCTCGTTAGCTAAAGGCCTTTTCCATCGATTAGAACAACTTTTAGTGTTGGATTTGTCTGGTAACCAGTTGACCAGCAATCACATCGATGCCGGAACTTTCACTGGATTAATCAGGCTAATAATTTTGAACTTGTCACACAACGCTCTTACAAGTATTGACGGGCGCACATTCAAAGACTTGTATTTCTTGCAAATCCTCGACTTGAGAAATAATTCGATTGGATTTATCGAAGACAATGCGTTTTTGCCACTTTACAATCTTCACACCCTCAACTTGGCAGAAAATCGTTTAAATACGATCGGGCCGCAATTATTTAATGGACTTTACGTGTTAAGTAAATTAACATTAAATAACAATTTAATTGTAAATATTGACACCCGTGCATTTCAAAACTGCTCCGCTTTGAAAGAATTAGATTTAAGTTCCAACGCCTTGGTTGAAGTTCCAGATGCCGTGCAAGAACTGTCTTTCTTGAAAACCCTTGACTTGGGTGAAAATCAAATAAGTGAATTTAAGAATGGTTCGTTTAGAAATTTAAACCAATTGACCGGATTGAGGATGATAGACAATAATATAGGAAATATCACGCGTGGCATGTTGTGGGACTTACCTAGTTTGCAAGTTCTTAATCTTGCTAAAAATAAAATTCAAAGTATTGAACGCGGATCGTTTGAAAGAAACACGCAAATTGAAGCAATTCGTTTAGACGAAAATTTCCTGACAGACATTAACGGTGTTTTTGCAACTTTGGCAACTTTACTGTGGCTGAATTTATCAGAAAATCATTTGGTTTGGTTCGATTATGCATTTATTCCGAACAATTTAAAGTGGTTGGACATTCACGGTAATTTTATCGAACATTTGGGCAATTACTACAAGATTCAAGACGAAATTCGCGTTAAGACTTTAGATGCTAGTCACAATAGAATTACTGAAATTTCCCCTATGGCTATACCAAACAGTGTCGAGTTAGTATTTATAAATAATAACTTTATAAAAACAGTGCACCCGAATACGTTCCTAGATAAAGCTAGTCTCGCGCGCGTAGATATGTACGCCAATGATATGGTGAACTTGGACTTAAACGCGTTGCGGATCTCTCCCGTTCCCTCAAACCGGTCGCTGCCTGAAGTCTATCTGGGTGGCAACCCCTTCAACTGTGACTGCACAATGGAGTGGCTGCAGCTCATCAATAACATGTCCGCATCCCGTCAATATCCCAAAGTTATGGATCTGGATAACGTGATGTGTAAAATGACACATTCCCGAGGTATGTCGCATATGCCCCTCAGCCAAGCTAAGCCCAGCGATTTCCTATGCACTTATCAAACCCATTGCTTTGCCCTTTGTCATTGCTGCGAATTCGATGCTTGCGACTGCGAAATGACCTGTCCGACAAATTGTACGTGTTACCACGATCAATTGTGGAATACAAACGTCGTCGATTGCTCCGGACAAAATGCCAAGGAAATTCCGCAAAAAATCCCGATGGACACCTCGGAATTATACCTAGATGGAAATAATATTAAAGAGCTACAAAATCATGTATTTATTGGCCGTAAAAATATGAGAGTATTGTACGTCAATAATAGCGCCGTCGAAACAATTCAAAATAGCACGTTTAACGGATTGAATGCGCTTCAAACTCTGCATATGGAAGAAAATAAAATTTACGAGTTGCACGGATACGAATTCGAACACTTATCGAATTTAAAAGAATTGTATCTACAAAATAACGTAATAAAACATATTGGAAACAACACCCTAGAACCGCTTATTTCTTTGGAAATTCTACATCTCGTAGGAAATAAACTGGTTACATTCCCAGTGTGGCAACTAACAATAAATACTAGGCTATCTGAAGTAACTCTGGGCAATAATCCATGGTCGTGCCGCTGCAAGTTCCTCCAAGGGTTGACTGCATGGGTTGCTGATAACGCTGCTAAAGTACTCGACAGTGCCGATATGATGTGTTATAACACCGACTCGAGGCCCCCGCAGCGCCGTGAACTGGACTTCAACAGCACCGCGTGCAGTGACTTCTACGCCGGAAGCTCCGTAATCGATAGTATGCTTGTGTCTGACTACTGGCCGATGGTTGTTGTGACTCTATGCGTAGTGATATGCTTATTGCTATTTGTTGTTCTTTGGTTCATATTTAGAGACTCAGTTCGTGTGTGGCTTTATTCGCGATACGGAATAAGACTGTGCAGTTTTGGAGCTACGGCCGCGAAACAGTTCGAAGACAGAGACAAACTTTATGACGGTTTCGTGTGTTATAGTCCGAAAGACGAAGAGTGGGTTATACAGGACTTGGCCGCGGATTTGGAACCGAAATTCCAATTGTGTTTGCAATACAGAGACCTTCCGCATACCCCGTATATTCAGCATGCCGCCCCAGCCGTCTTAGAAGCTGCAGAAGCAAGTCGCCGAGTGATATTAGTTTTAACGCGAAACTTTCTACAGACTGAGTGGGCGCGATTTGAACTTCGGCAGGCTCTACACGAGGCTCTCAAGGGCCGAGTCTTTAAGCTTGTAATCCTCGAAGAAGGCCCGCTTCCAGAAGCCGAAATGGATCCAGACTTCCGAGTCTACCTAAAAACCGCCGAAAGAATTCGATGGGGAGAAAAACGGTTCTGGGAGAAACTAAAGTATTCCATGCCCTCCGTCGAACCCCGTGGCAAAATTAACGCCAACTATAGGCGTAACATCAACAACTACACAATTGACTCGAGGGTGGTCGCCAACGGAGCCGGTCACACGCATCATACCTATCCCGAAAAAATCAGGGTTCAAGGTCCGCCTTCTCCGGGTATGCAGATGTTGCCGCCTCCAGCGTATTCAGCCGGCATGCCCCAGGAGCTGGACGATGCCAACTACTCGTCGGCGACGACGGCCACTCCATCCCCCAGGCCATCGAGAAGACAACAGCATCATCACGAGCCGAGGCCGATCTCCGACCACATCTATTCCAGCATCGACTCGGATTACAGCACCCTGGAGCGCGGCGGCTCTGGGAGACGTGGACCTCCATGGAGGCCCCACATCGTGATGCAGACTGCAGGCGTCAACCACGCCGGACAGGCCTATCTTGTGTGATAACTTTATTGACTGACTAGATATAACTAAAGACTTAACCATTTAATATTTTAAAGGTCTCTCTAATTTGAGTTCTCCTGTTGATGTATAAATATTCACGCAATTTTTAATTTTCATTTCCACATTATAATACTTCTATTATGACTACAATAGCTTTTAAATATGATACACGATTTTATATGAAATTATGGATGTCTATAATTTATCAAAGAAATGTTTAATCCTAAAGAGTGGCATATTAGACTCCTGTATCTGTATTAGATGGAATTAAAAAAATATTTATTTATTTTGTTTATGTATATTGTTATAGTAAATTGATTGGTGAACTTAAATAAGACATACCCTAAGTCGAAATGTGTAATTATTATTATTAACTATTATTGTATTATTTTCTGTACATATGTAACTTGTAAATAGATATATTTATTTTGTTTATATTTTTTTTATTATTATGTGTATATTTTTTACGAATTGCAAACGAATTATATGAATAAATACAATGTGAAATAGAAAACTTTGTTTATTTTGTTTACTTCTACAAATAGGTATCTCACTTTTCAGGAATATAAATTAAATTTAATAAAAATATTTAACAGGTAGGTAAGAAAATTTATAATAAAATATTTTTACATTAACTAAATTACATTTCGTAATAATAAATATTAAGTATATATGTTAAACATTTATTAACTATATTTAATTAAAACTTTGGTGACATAACTACAAACATTAAAAACTATATTTTTTGTATTCATTTTAATTAATCATAATTTTAAAATATAAACCTATCTTTAAAATTATAATTCTAATAAGTTTTTAAGAAATTAAAATAAAAATTTAGTTTCCTTGAAAATAAATTATATTTTTTTATTTCAACAGGTTTACACTTTATTAAATGGGAGTTATTAAATGCTCTTAGAATTTTTGGTCAGTTTACACACACAAAAAATCGAGACAAAAAACATTTAATGGATACCTATTTAAATTTATTTTAATAAGCCTTTTGTAATTTTGTTTTAGGACTTGTGATAGGAAAAAATATTATATTTGGCTTGATAATTATATATATAATTATAATTATTTAAAGCAAACTACTTGTTCCATTTCTATATTAAACAAATCTAATTACATTCAAATTTATCATATAAATTTTAAGAATTTTTAATAAATTAATTTGAATAATATATGTCTACTTAAGTTGGCAATATATGGGAAACTTTGTTATTATTAATTTTACGAAGAAAAGTTATTCTTTATAAAAAGTTCTGCATGTTCTAAAATCTAAAATAAAATCATCAGATATCAATTTTTTTAAGTTATATACGAGGTTTGACAAAAAATATGAATTTGGTACAAGAGTACCTTTATTTGTGACAATATCAAAAACTGTAATTATGAAAAGTTGTTCAGAATGAAAAACTATGTTTTAATATGCAATTACATCCTTGTACTTCAAATTTAGTTACGAGTTTTATTAGTCAATTGCGAGCAAGTGTTTAATAAAAACGAGTGTATAGAGAAGTTTATAAATCGAGTTTCATATTATAGTTTATCTATTTTGCGTTCATAATGACTTCATTGTAACATCGCTTATTGTAAATAAGTAAATTAAGGACGCCATGGCGAATCGATTTTAACATTAACCCTTCAAACCAATGACTGTGATACCAAATATCTAAAGTAAAATTCGACCAAATTAAATATAAAGTATAAAATTAATTTTTTTATAGAATTTTTGCAAAATAGATAAAATAGCATAAAGATCACATGTCATAAGACCTTTTGCGTGCGACTAAATGACGTCTTATGACATTAGTTCTTTAATTTACTATTATTTACGACAAAACATAATTTTAAACCAAATTTATTTGTTTAACATTTGAGATCTAACAACTGTCAAGGGACTTAACTTCACTTTTCTCCAACTTTAGCCCGTGACTAAAACACCAAAAAGTCACAGCTTGTCAATTATGTGGGAGTACATAAAAAAGATTTTGTAACATTACGGGATTCCAACTTCTAATTTTTTCGATATATAATAGTATATTATGTATCAAGTTTAATAAACGCCATTTTAAACACGAATTTATTTTAGGCAAGAGCGAGCTTGCGAGCGAGTGCTTAAGTTAATGAGTGTATAGAAAAGTTTATAAACAAGGTGCTTACTATACTTTTTCTACGACAAATACTTATAATTATCTTAAAATGATTTAAATAAAAAATTTGTATAGAGCACCATCTATGAAACAACAGGGTCAAATGTCACATTTTTACATTTTACAAACACAATTATAAAGGTTATAAATCGAAATGAATCTTGAAAATTGATAGTTTTTCACAGTGAAAGTAAAGGAAATGTTTTATGAGGACTTTACAGCAGAGTCCGTGCCCGAATTTAAGTTATAGTTTACTGCCGGCGAAATTAAAAGGTCAGTACAATATTCATATAAACTTTTCAAATATTGGCGTTGAGAAACTATTTAATATTTTTGTATTTTTGTATTGAGATAATAAAATAATTTTCACATTTTGTATTATTTTACAAGAAAGGCACTTTATTTTAACGATTGTATGACATTTGACATCTGTCAACTAACTTAAAACTAACTTTAGCCCGTGACTAAAAACCTGTTGCTAACTTCAGCCCGTGACTAAAGCGCCGTAAAGCCACAACTTGTCAATGTGTATTTAAAAGGTCACTTAGTGTCATGGAAACATGTACGATAAAGGGCGTTTTAAAGGTGGGAGTAGAAAAAAGTTTATAAACGAGGTGCATACTATACTTTTTCTTCGACAAATACTTATTATTATCTTAAAATGATTTAAATCAAATATTTTTTTAGAGCGCCATCTATGAAACAATAGGAATCTGTGTGTCGCCGTCAAATGTCAAATTTTTATATTCTATAAATACAGATTATAAAGTTTATAAATCGAAATGTATTTTTTGAAAATTGACAGTTTTTTTAGAGTGAAAGTAAAGAAAATGTTTTATGAGCACTTTACAGTGGATTCCGTGCCCGAATTTAAGTTATAGTTTACTGCCGGCGAAATTAAAAGGTCAGTACAATGTTCATATAAACTTTTCATATATTGGCGTTGAGAAAGTATTTAATACTTTTGTATTTTTTTATTGAGATAATAAAATAATTTTCACATTTAGTATTATTTTACAAGAAAGGCACTTTATTTTAAAGATTGTATGACATTTGACAACTGTCAACTAACATAAAACTAACTTCAGCCCGTGACTAAAGCGCCATAAAGCCACAACTTGTCAATGTGTATTTAAAAGGTCACTTAGTGTCATGGAAACATGTGCGATAAAGGACGTTTTAAAGGTGGGAGTAGAAAAAAGATCACTTAGCTTCATCCAAACATACACAATAATGTGTGACTAGAAAAATAATATTAATTGAATTAATTTTATTTTAAATTACATATTAAACCTTTTTACGTGCAGAATGTAAGTTGTTAAACATTTTACTTTAACGGTAATTTTAAGTGTAATAAACTAAATGTAAAGAACATTAAGTCAATAGAAAAACGAAATTGTTTTTAAAGGTGTTAAAATATTTAATTAAATACTTTTATAACGCAGGCAGTTCTTTGTAATTTTTAGTGCCTAGCATTTTAACGCTTTGACAAACTCTTAACAGTATTATTCGAGGTACCTATTATTATAAAGTAATTGTTTTTATTGTTAATGGCGTTGTCAGTTTAAATCAATGGATACGCGAGATTCCCAGAACATTTTTAATTCTTAAAATAATTATAAAAATATGTTTTTATTAGTTGTTACTTACAACTCAAGAAATAAAAGTTTAGAGCAGGAAAATAAAAAATGCTTGCCAGGTATATACATTTGAAAGAAAAAAACAAAAACACATAAAGAAAAAGTATTCAGTCAATATGAAAAGTGCAATTTCCCAGCTGAATAAGAAAAATTGTTTGTAAAATTTAGCACAGAAAAAACTTTTGTTTGTGTTTTTTTATTTATAATACTTTTTTCCTCAAAACCGCACAATTACAAAACAACGTCCACAATGAATGTTAATTTAATATTTTGATCAAGATCAAGTGGTTTACCAGGTTTTGCACATAAATAGGAACGGGATTAATTAGATTGAAATGTTAAACATAAACAAATAATAGTAATTTATTTCATAAGGCTGAGAAGGGATATTTTTTTACTTACCTCAAAGTTTGAATGCTGACGCATAGCGAAGCACTAAAAGACAATTTTTAGCCGCATGGCATACAACATTTTATCTTCAAGGCATAATTTTATTTGTAAAACAGTACATAAAACGTACAATTATAATATTTATTAAAAGTAGAAAGTGTGGTAAGATTAAATCTGACAGTGGTAGAATAATTCGACTCGAATTTCGTATTGGTCCAAACGGGTTTTTTACAGACTAAAAGGTAAATAACTTTACCCGATTTTTTACAGCCTAGAAAGTTCTTTGATTGAAGATTAAATAAATATTGGATTGTTATTTGAATAATTAATTTAATTTTCTTATTGGTTTCAGTTTTCCCAAAGCAATTACAAAACATGCAGATAAACAACATACATGTTTTTATTGTGGTAATTGATGTAAGTAATTGTATGAAAGGAAATGGGTATTAGTAATGTTTATCCTCTTTAGTGGTACCCATATACAGGAATACTAAAAAATAAATTATAATTAATTAACTATATTAAATAAATTTTATAACTCTCTAAAAATGAATTAGTCAAAAATGACTAATTACTACAGTTATTAGTGGCAACTTTTTCACTTATACCATGGTATAACATGCATGTCCCCATGGGATAGCATGGTAATAATAATAATAATAATAATAATAATAATAATAGGCTTTATTTCAGAAGACATATACATGTGTAGAAAACGTCAAGGTAAATTTGAAATAGACAAACATAATACATAAGAAATTACAAAATGATTCATAATGTACATAAATAAATTTTAACAACTTTAGCTAGATTATAAGAAATTCATTCAATCCCCGATATAATAGCCAATATATGGAAAATTGACTATATCTCAAAAACTGTTTTACTTTTATAAGTTTTGACGACATTTTCGGATTATGCGAACAATTTTTCATAAGAACAATTTTACATAAGAAGTACAAGTGAAAAAGCAGCCACTAATAACTATTAAATTAGTAATTTTTGACTAACTCATTTTTAGAGAGCGTATAGTTGATACAATGCCATAAAATCTTCGATTTGACATTTATAACCCTGTCATTTTGACAGCTACTTATGATTTTTCATATCTGTTATTTTTCACATCTTCTCTACAGGTCAAAAATGATGTGACAGATGTAAGATTAATTGGTTAAATGTAAGGGCAGTTTTTAATTATTCAATTTT